CTTCCAGTGCTTGACTGGATCATGAACACCCTCACTTCTTGAGAAAGCACGGAATACAATGAACAGTTTGCATGCAACTAGACGATTTGGACTTTACAGATGGCCTGGTACTTCTATCCTATACGCACGGACAAATGCAGGTCGAGACAGCCAGTGTAGTAGCAGCCTCAACATAAACAAGGGAAAGAGCAAAATCCTCTGTAGATCACCAACGTAGATGATCTATGTCGAAATGATTGGAGGCCGACTCGAGTTAGACGTGAATAATGTGACGAACCAACTAACGTCGAAGTCACACCTTGTGGTCAGCACCTTACGTGGACTACCCCCATTGACGTAACAAGGTACTATAGATGCTTTGAAGACTGTACAACACAAAGGACGTTATTACAGAAATATATCAGTTAAGGTAGATACAGGCGAAAGTAAGACCACTGCCGCATGGGCCAGTCCATGGCGTATGATTAACTAATGCGCGTTGCTTGTACATGACCTTGGCAGGGAGCGATGATCTGTTCGACATTCAGTGATCCAACTGCCGGATGATTTGGCTAGGGCTCAGTGACATTTCACTGGCCCTACACCTCAAATACAACACAGAGAACACCAATCCAATCATAATTAATGGAGAATCTCTGGAAGAGGTCGAAACTTTTACGTATCTGGAAAGCACCATCTATGAACAAGGAGGATCGGATACAGACGCAAAGGCAAGGATAGGCAAAGCAAGAGCAGGATTCCTATAATTGAAGGACATATAGGACTCAAAACAATTGTTAGCCAGTATCAAGTTCAGAATCATCAATACGGATGTCAAGATAGTTTTACTGTACGTCGCTGAAATTTTGAGAACTACTACAATCATCAACAAAAGAGCACACGAGTTTTATGTACACAAAGGAACAAAGAAGCATTGACAAAAACGACAGCTATTTTTGTGAACGTTATTTCACTTCATTCAAAGCTTGTCAAACACTAATATTTATTTTTATTTCTGATTTATTCTACAAGCCATAAGCTTTCAGTCGATGTATGATTTACTGACACATCTTTTTTCGTTCTAAAGCTATTGTAATTTATAGATAACCTTTAGTAGTCTATTTTTCTACCCTAATTGTTATTTTTAGACATAATTTTATTTCCTAATTGCTTGTGCATTTTGATCACTTCAGTCATCTATTTATTCATGTATCTGTTTTCGCTAATCTGAATCGCATATGGGAATTGATGGAGTAGTATTCCAGTCATCTCTTCTTTCTCGCACGCGCTTGTTAACCACTCAAATGATGGGATAATTTTCGCCTCAAACTCATGCGTTTCTAACCTCAAGGAAAAAGTCAGCTTATCACGTTTTATTCTAGTTTGAGACAAATTATCGTCTGTATATTAGTGGGTAGACAGATCAGGAACGCAACAGTGTTTACGAACAGTTGTCTGCGCTAGATAATTAATACCAGTCGGTCGGATACCATCAGCAACAGCCTACTGTGGTAGAGAACAAACCGACTTCAAACTGAAGCGTAAATTAAGAGAAGACGTTGGAAGTGAACAGGACATACATTGCCGAAATCATCAAGCTGAATCATTAGACAGGAGCTAACTTGGAAAAGAAAAACCAAACAGTTGGAAGCAGACATCAAAAGGATGGATAGAGACTGGAAACAACTGGAAAGGAATGTCCAGAACGGAGTACGATAGAGAAAACTGGTAGGAAGCTTATGCCCCTCCACGTGGGGTAACAGGCGCAAGTAAGTATGTAATAACAGACTTGGAAAACTGTATGTATGACTTCATACCTATGGTAGTAGCAAATTAATTTGGGTAGGAAAGGATTGAAACGGCGTGATGGAATTCGAAACGCGTTGTAAAGTAGTGAGGATAATTAGATCTGCAGACGATAAAGTAAGGCTATTCTGAGTCAGCTAGCAACCAGATATTCGAGCAGAAAAATTGTATCTATAACTTCGAGGTAACTAATTCCTCATTTGTTTTTATAACCTACTAACGATTTGTGAGTTGAACGTCGAAATATTTTGAAGAACTGAGTGACAAGTTGGTTCGTTGAAGTTTAAACCAAACAAATATTCAAACACTAACGTCTTATAGAAACACATGACGACTGGTCTTGATATTACGCACACATTTTTGATCATATTTTGTTTGATATTTGTTTTGTCCTTCAAAAAGTGTAAGACTTAAACTCTTAAATGCTTCACAAATTCATTAAACATTCATTTGTTCTGAAAATAACTATGGTGACGCCAAATGAAATATTAGTTGAATTGAAATTACTTGAATTAATGTGCTAATCAAAATAGTACAGTATAAGGTAGGGAGAATTAGATGAGTTCAAGTTAACATATTATATTTGGGACTCGTAATCAGCGCGCATAATCAATACAAACCAGTTATTAGTTAGTGTAAATACTGCAGATATGGATTATATGTGAAGAGAACCTGCGATTATAGAAACTCACGTATTCGTCCTCATCGTACTTTAGTAGCTGCAAAATGTCAGTCGCTTGAAGATGGGAGACGACAATATACGGATATGAAACCCATGAGTTAGAACTAGAATATATATTGTAGTACTTGCGGGACTATGAGGGTGTACTTCGTACACCAAACGTTAACATTTTATCTCAAGAATCAGGAAGGCACCATGAATTGTCCTACTGAACATTAAACTACAAGTGAATCTCGAGTGATAATGTACTCTGCCAGTTCAATTCATTCATCGGTGAGTTATAAACTAGCAGAAGTCTGTATTACACTGTTATTCTTCGTTTGCGAAATTCCGTTGATAAACAACGACGTTTTTCCTTTTACGGACATTTGTGTAATCTATTGAACACTCGCCTTGTAAGCTTAAAATCTTTCGGGAAAATATTGCATTAATAGTTAAATTGGATTCAGTCTGTTTTTATTGAGTCCAGAGCGTTACTGGTAAATGCATCATGCCAGTAAATTGAATGCATGTTGTATTTTTGTAGAGTGATATTTTCTTTGTACATATTTAACAGCACAATGTCAATATCACTCTGTTCACACAAACATGACCGGGCGGGTTCCGTCTAAGTTGTTAGTCACAAATAACTGAAATATTGAGTACCTAACAAAGTAAAACTTACTGTGTAACATATTTTTGATCATCAATATTACACATAGAACCAATACAAACCACTTCTGGACATTTTTAGTGCAACGTTTGCTCATGAATGCAAAGGTGGATCTGCGATGTGCCAACACAGTATCCTCTCCACGTATCTGTCGGAACATATTGAAGACCTCCATCGACGTACCACAACCTGAAAATACGATAGTATGAAGTCACTGATGGCTACGTCCGTCTTAAACGCTTTTAGATCGTTAATGTGTATTCTCTTGCCAGCCCATGACTTCACTTTTTCTACAGCATCATCAAATGCCGCCTAAGAAGAAACGCGCCTCAAGGTTTTCTTCGCCTCAGTTGACGATCTAGTTCACTGATAACAAACTAATCATGAACTATCGCACAGCTGATTATTGGTCATCCAGAGAGACGTTACGGATCGCTTGTCAGGACAGGCGAAACCTCCTTGACCCAAGTCTCTCGAGGCCGATGTAAAAAAACAGAATCCGACTTGGCCAGAACCGAACTTTTTACTTCATTTTTCTGTTTCTAGCTCTCTTCACGTCATAACTGCTGGATTACGTACTGATTAGCTCTGGAAATTAGTAGTTACAATATTTTGTCGCATGCTATTGATGCTTCGAAATATTGTACTGACTCAGAAAATATCAACTAAGCTTATTTGACTGTACGGAAACTTCTTTTCCACCTAAAAATATGATGTCAAATGTAAAGACTGAAGTATATGAACACACTTATCGGATTACTAGGTAATTTTCATACTTGAATTATAACTGATGTTAGCTCAAGACATAGGCCTCAATAACCCATGTATAAAAGTTTATTGATTGTGCCCAAACCTAGTTGCTAATTATTACTGTATTGACTCCTTATCGTAAATCGCCTTCATACCTCAACTGAACTCTAGATGATACAATTCATGATCGTTTTCCAGATACGATTTATCACTTTAGGTGAGTGGATCTAGTGCCTATTGGCAGACGTAATACACTGGTACGATGTGGCTGAATGATGACTGCTTATTAGGAAGGAATATTGACTAAAATCTTCAAATAAAGTGGTATCGGAAAACGGAACACCAAATCAGTAAAAATAAAGATCGTTTGGTCTAAGAAGTAAATATGCTAATGTATAAATTATTAATAGGGAAATAACATGATTAAATGTCATGAACGATTAAAACAATCTAATCCTACAGGTTATTCACCTGAGAATGAGTTAAGACCTAACCCTAGGCTTAACTTTTGTTCATCATACAATGATTATAAAAACCAGCAGCGCATGATGAGTGCGATTTATATCGGAAAAATGAAGGAAGCTAAGTGGATTTGGGGAATGCAGAACCGTTTTTATAGTTAAACTACGATGTTTAAATATTGACCAAAACTTTTAGAAGTAAATCTGACCCAATTTCTACTGGGCTGGTCATTTAAGCAAGGAGTGATGGGTCCCTAAAAAAGTCCATTTGCCGAAAAGAAACATGAGACGCTCAACTTTTACAGCTTACTTGCATTAAGCAGAAAGAGGAATCTTATTCACTCTTTATGTTACCGAATAAGTAACATTCATGATAATGAAAGACATGCGTTCCTCAGAGAAACGTTGGCTGAAAATAACTATCCAGACCGCTTTGTCGAGAACATGGAAGGAAGCCGGAATTCTTTTTTCGAATAAATGTTTTTGTATGGATCTGGACTTAAAGGGTGGCCGCAACATAAGTCTACCTATAACTCGGAACAATTATTTTATATCCTAGAATTAAAGTAATTTCAACGAAGTTAATTTTACTCGCTTTACGAACTGGCATAATGAAGTACAAATAATTATACCCAGCCACACACTGTCTGTCAAAGAACACAGAAGAAAACACCCACTACATGACGCAACAGTTAATACAAAAAAATTAGTAGGATTATGATTTATTGGCTTAGGAAATAATATAAATCATAACTGTAAGGTGGACAAATCAAAGAGTATCTCTTCGCCATTTTGATGAGCCTATAATATCAGTAAAGTGTCTGTTCTCAAACGATTTATTTACATAGTCATCCGCTTGTCCATCCACTTCAGCAGTGAACCAATCAGGAGTTGTAGGATGCAAATACGGTGCCTCGCTGTACTCGTCACGAACTACAACAGTTTGGGCAGCGATAAGTCTCTCTTCTAACATTTCTAACGCCTTTAATGATATGACTAATGTGTCATGATGTACCATAGACCAAACATTTAAACTGTGAACTGGCATTAATGTTAAACCTCTACCAGGATGAGTAGCTCGTGGAGCAATAGAATCAAGTTTGAATGCTGATGACTCCGGTGAAATCTCGCTCTTCACATGATTTTCATAGGAACCGCATGCCAAACTAATTGCTAGATTATCATAACTAGAGTTCATGTTGTCTGTTTTATCATTATCAATGTTTTCGCTCCCAGGACATGGGACTGCCAATTGACTTGCTGGAGAATGTCTTTAAAAAAAGACAAAAAATTTACATGATGAATGATAACAAATTGCTGCTATCATAGTAAGGAAAGACAAATAAAAGTAACATCCTACTTATACTAGTCACATATATCAAGAAATGATAACATGAAATTTCAAATATCAAGGCTACTTAAAGTGGTCAAACATAACCAAAATTCTACATCAACGTATATTGGTAGGTAATATCTTGAAACCTGTAAGTACCAATGTTGGGATATTCAGGAAAATATCCCAAAAATTATCCTGTTAAGCCTAATGCTATCCTTGGACATGAAATGGTATTATCTTATTGGTCAATATTTATTTAACGTGTTATTTTCCTACTGGTTAATATTGTACAATGTTATTTTCTATTTTATCGTACGATGTGGTCTGCTTGACTGGTATATAAACAAAGTATGTTTGAAATATAATGATTCATAACTCAGAGGCTGTGACTTGTGTTCTGGACTCAACTGACTGGGCTAGAAAGGGAAGCGGGGCCAATCAGAACCCTAGGTCGTTCTACGTGTTTGTGCGTCTTTGGTCCGATCAATAATTCGCTACCCTCTAATCTGTTTTGTCTTCCACTAAACTAGATAGATATAAAGTTGGTGGGAAAAATCAAGATTAGATAGTACTTTAACACACAAATTGCTAGTCAGTATTCTAGAAAGAATAATTCTTCAGTACTTTAAACAGTAGAATGTAAACTAGAAACAGACAATTATACAGAATGAGACATGAATGAACATATTAGGTTATGCAGTGATACTATTATGCCAAAAAATGTACATGGTAGCGTACGGAGACGTTAGATCGTAATCCTCAGATTTTGTGTTGGCCGTAAAAGAAAATATTTTTTCTTCTGAGTGAACAAAAAGATTCGAAGTGTATTTAACATGGCTATGTAAACAATTGATAGTGGATCTTTTCCACCACCTACAAGTTTATGCAATTGGTTTCAAGCTACACTGTTTCGTGAGATCATTAATGATACTATATATATATATCATAAAATCGAAAAATGTTCTTACAGTTACTGGGCCAAATAAAGGATTAGGGTTGGAGAAGTCTAATTGGTAGTAGATCTTCACTCCATTATAGTTATCTATTAGGAATCATGTATAAACTAATGTTAATTGCTTTAATTCCTATAAAGAGTTGATATGAAAGAAGAAAGTCGTCTTAGAAATGTTTAGTTTGATAGCTTAACCAATCATAGATACATTGAAGTTAGCTATCAAAGAACTAGGGAAAAGTTCTAACTTAAAAATACAAGTACCCGAACGAGGGAAACATGTAGTGTAGGTTGTGATAAACACTTGTAAATTCGGGTTCAAACAGCAATTTAAAAAAAGGAGACATCACAGGATAAGGATAAGCACTACCATCGATAAAACTTTAATAGTACAAAATCAACAGTTACATCGCATTCTAGAAAACAGTTGGAGTAATTCATTTATTTATGGTCGATGAAGCTTAAAATTGATTTATACCTTATGAAGAGAATTCTTAGAGTTAAAACTCAAAGAAACACCGTATGGAATGATACAGACTAAACAACTACAGATAAATATATTAGATGACACTTGCAATTTCTCAGAAACAGGTAGAATCGATCAAATGTATGAGATTAGTGCAATACCAATGAAGTAGTCGATTAGAATCCAAAGTGTAGCTAAGAACATAATCGACAACGTATACTGCTAACAAGTACAAAAATGTCCCAATGTAACTATTCAGAGGTTTAAAATTTCCTACAAGAAGCCGAATAACGAGAACCTAATGAAAGGGTAAAAATTCAACTGCTCAAAAGAGTATTTTAATCTAAAAAATCATTATATTTTTCATAACCTACAAATGAACAAGATAGTAACTAAAGTAATAATTAACCTCTAAATCATGAGATAGATGATCAGATGAGGAAATAATATATGATCACTACTTAGAATAATACGACCAGTGATGCGGATGAGCATGGACTGAGTATGGACTGCCGGGATTTTAAAAAATAACAGCACGATATTTTGATTCAAAGCTTTTTGTTGACTACAGTTACGAAATCTTTCAAAACTAACTTATATGATCTATACTTCATAAATATATAATGCGGATCTACACTTACGCATCGACAAACAAAATAGATGGACCCCAACAACGTAGATCTGCCAATTGACGAATATATATTGCTGCTTCGTTCATTGTTTTAGTTAAACGATAATGACGTGTTTTATTAAGTGCAGAGAGTGGATCTTCCAAATCATTCAAGTTAAGAGAAGCAGTTTGTGCTTCAGTTAAAATAGTTTTAGCATCTTCTTCCAACGTTTTTGAAAGCATAAAATCATCAACAATATGTAAATCATTCTACAGAAGGAAATAAATGAGATAAAAAGATTAAGTTTAACAATTAATTTAGGAATAAGTTTTCAATTTAAAAATGGGAAATTTAAATCAACATCAGCATCTTGTACAAGATTCGATTTTCAGTTAACGGAGTTCATTTTGTGAATACTTTGAGTTCAAAGCACCTTTTCTCTTTCCTTTTCTTTTCTTTTTACAATCACCAAAACATGTGTGATAAGCATTCATCCAATATATCTTTCCCAAAATAAGAAGTCTTAGATAAAAATGAACAAAATGTTTTCACCTACAGAATGCAATGCAGAACTATTTTATACATGGGAAATAAACTCAGATACAATTAGAAATTCCAGAAATCTACATAATTCATTATTTACTTTCGATAGAAACAAAAATTACCTGTGCATGCTTTATAGATAACATTGATAATAAACCAGCAAGGCGTTCATTATAAGGGAGAAGATAGAAAAAAGACTCTGGTCCACGTGGGCCTTTACACTGTCCTCCATTGAGCCATATATGAGTACGACGATTACCATGTCGAGCTTTTCCAGTTTTTTTTTGAGGCCAAGGTTTTTTTCTAGTTCGATAGGATAATTCTGCTCGTGTTGTTATACAACGCCAATCCTAGGGAATGTTTTTTTAAAAAACGTCAACTCATTTAAAATAGACATTAAATGATTAACTCATTTATTCAATATTTACATATAAAACAGAAAAATAATCAGCATCTCCATAACATTTCACCTTATTCACAAGAACTAAAAATTGTTCGACAACAGTTTAATCACTATACAGATTGTTAGAGACTTGAATTTTATAGTTAATATTAAGAACTAATTCTAGATAAATAACTAGAGAAAAGCAGGAAGCACTGAAAACTGTTTCATCGTAGTATGAGACTCCTTAGCATCGACGATCCACGATCCCACCAGGGATCGGACCCAAGAATTAAGGTCTCGCAAGAAGCCGAAGTCCTATAATAGGACGAAGCAGTTGTCCAGTGCTTCCTGGTTTTCAACGGTTTTTCTTAATGTTAACTATGAACATTTAGGTGAAACCTCAGATACAGGAAACCTTAGATTAGTCGAATAGCATAAAAAATATGAAAACAAACTTAAAGTTGGTTTAGCGGACTGTTAGTTAGATATATAATTTGAAGACCAAGGGCAAGAGTCGTCTATTACCATTAACGAGATAAGCATCGGTTCTTTAAAAATAGTGAATACACTGTAAGTATATATATATATATGAGTGCAAAGAAAAAGATTTCAACTATTTATTAACTTACAATTAACCGATAATGAGCTTGCCAGTATAAATTTTTATGCACCAAATCGATACGTGGAAATACAGCAAATATATCTGGATGCAAATCAATCATGCCAAGTAAACTTTGAGAATTGGAAGATTTTGAAACGCCTAGTGGTTTCAATGTTTCTAACCATGTTAATCGAGAACCACGAGAATTAGCAGAACAGTAAACCGGAGGTTGAAGTTTTCTTGATGTCATAATTGGTTGGTTCGATGGTTCTGGTTGTAGCTCATCACATCTTGTATTTGTTTCCGGTATTTTAAATGGACGAGATGAAGCACTTCTTGTTAGAATAATATTGTAATTGTGTTTTAGGAATGAATCACATCCATATTTTACCTGAAAACGAGAATAAAATAGTTGAAATGAAAACACAATTCAGTAAGTAGGAACAATACGTGAGACTCTAAAATATTGAAGACAACTACATGTAATAAATGTTGAAAAGAGCAACCATAAAACTTATTTTGAACATATTAGAAAATATTTCGGTAAATTTTTAACTTCATAATTCAAAAGTGTATAATTCTTAGAATTTAAAAAATTCAGTATGGAGCTCAGTGGTTCAGAAGTTGTGCGTTCGCACGCGATGCTTTAAATCCTGGATTTGATTCTGCACTCTATGCTTAACGATTTCATTATACAAGAGTGACTGATCCTGTACATAATTCTAACCGACAGTTGGTAGGCATAATTGAAATTACCGCAGTTACGATGGATGTTAAATACACTATTACAAGATTGTGTTTCTATACATCACGGAGTAACCAGATAAATTATACATTAAAATCAATAGTATTCCTTTGCACATACGCAAAATATTATATATGGTAGGGCAAGCCGCTAAATAACTTTTGTGCACGAAAAATGTACAGAAAGAAGCTGTCAAAGAAGCAGAACAGTAACTATATCTTGTTTGGCAACCTTTCTATTAATCACTGTTGATCAGATACTAAGTAGTTAATCGTTCATTCTATGGAAAGAGAATGTGTCCAAATACATGTTCAGTGAATTATAAAACCTCAATAACCATTATATCTCTACATGTGATAAAAATTCAACTTATAATCAAAACTGCTTTTCATAATACACCAAAACATTGGATCAAGAATTGCGAAAAGAAACAATTTGTTTTAACCTACTAGTAAGCTGGTAATTTCACGTATATGAAAAACCATAATTAGTTTTTTTATTTCTCCCACAGATAATAACGAATAGAATGAAGCATGAAATCAGTATCTGACAGGTGTATGATGCCAAAACATCCCACAGTGAAGAAAGTCTGAAATAATACGAGAAATGCATACGTGCATGAAAACTTTAAAATGCTAAAGTTCGTAGTATGCTAGAAATCTGTACAATTTACACAAACGAAAGTGGTGGAGGTAAAGTGATGTAATTCACTGAAATTATTTTTGTCTACAGTGTACAGCCAGAACTAATATGTGTACCTTTATAAGCGCATTTACCGAGTAAGTACGTATGCGATCTAGGCACCAATTATAAATGACCAATGTCTGTGAGAAAATAACAGTAAAATTACGAAGTCAATAAACAGCTGTTGTCTAACACACAACTACAAAAGTTACTGACTAGCATGAAATCATCCCAGATACTATGTTTAACAAGAATTGTTGAGAAACCTCTTGATAACAGATAAGTGCCTTTTGAAAATATCCAAGGAGGTTAAAGAACATGTTTGTATAGAATAATATTGATCTATCACCAATGTGATCAGAGAATTTGCATCTACTCACCGTATTTGTGACATCAGAGTTGTTGGTAATATTTAAGCAAACAGTGACTGCTTTTTAAGGTAGTAGCCTTCTGTAGAAATGAAACAAAAGATAATCCAGAATTTTACAAATAATGTCACAAGTGACTTTTTCAAAGTGTATTACTTGTGGAGTATGGAGATATCCATCAATCAACCGAAGGACGTATATACTACGCATAAGTCTGCTCTGTTCTACTATATGGCTGGGAAAAATGATCTATGAAAGTAGGACATGCGAAGGCCGGCTATCGATCATAAGTATCTTTAAAACGTTTCTCGTTTGTTAGGTCCCGATAAGCATAATGAATGGTAACTTTGGGATCCATTTATGGGCCAATACTAAACGTATATTTTTATCGTATAATTGTTAAATAACTAAACTATTCGTATTCATATTCCTCTTATTATAAGCTTTATTTTGACCTATGAACCATTATTATACGTTTTACCATTCTTGAGTTATGCCCTGTCTATTAATCACTGCCTCCCACACTCACAGACACATTTGGCCAAATTTTGTAAAATTTTATTTCTATTTTATGGTACGTTGTGGTCTGTTTGATTGGTATATAAACCGAGTATGTTTGAAAAAAATGATTCATATTGCAGAGGTTGAGATTGGTGTTCTGTACTTAACTGGCTGAGCTAAACGGAAAGTAGGAGTAATCAGGACTCTAGGCTGCTCATACGTGTTTTAAGCGTCCTTGGTCCGATCGATAATTCACTGCTTTGATTGGTGGTATCGTTACGTTATACATTAACAGAGCACTCAGGCCACAAGATATAACATTTTATGGAACAACCAAGTAATATTGGTTATACATAAGGTGCTACGTAAATATGCCAAATCGGTTGGTGTTATCGTCAAGGTGACTATGACATGTCCAGGCACCACCTACTTCGACAGACGATATTTTCTGGAGCCAAAATGCTCTGGGAGAAGGTTGGGGATTGTCGGACTAAGACACAAAATTAGTTTATGAAGTTACTGACTGTTGGTCTGAGCCGTGTTAATGAAAACTATTTAGTTGGGATCCGTGAGATGACCGTGATCAGCGGTTGGAGACGCTGAATGACATAGCACAGAATAGTTTAAAATGGAACAGATCTATTCACTCTTCGTTGTCATCTAGATATTGAATCCCAGTACCCTTTAATATATACTTTGCTACCCAGTCCTTTCGGATCATATTTTCAGCGTTCAGTTTTTCGCATTATTATTATTACATTATTTCGGCCACTTTTGCTATAGATCCTATTAATCTCATTTTGTTGTGGTTATGTGGTATGGCAATTTGGTTCAGTGTACATCTGTACCAGGTATTATGTTGAACATTATTGACTGACTTCTAAATGACGTATGGCAACCTGGACCGATGAATATATGTGCCTGGTTCTACGTTATGGATGACTGACTGACTTCTATAACGAATAAGTAGCATAATTCAACACAATTACTCGCAACTTATGATTCATCGTTTTTGAGTTCGTCGACAAAACCTTCAAGTTAGACAACATCGAATTTTGGGAAATTTGTGCCCAGTAATAACCAATATATAGTTTACTTAAGATTATATGAAACTTCATAAACACATGGCAAGAATATCACCCTCTAAACAGCATGCTTACATAATTTCTTAGTTACAGGAGAATTAGTAGGTAAGCTATAATATCAAGCAGATATAGTTCAAGGAAGTGTGTTAATGCATTTGTGAAACAACAACTAGTCCTAAATCATGTCAAGTATGGTCTGTAAAAACTATTATCTATCATCTCAGTGACCCCACTTAGAAATTCCACACTTTAAAACACAATTCATGTTAACCATCAGTTATTTCACAAACTAGGTATGACGTGTTCTGCCTATCATCGGCCTTTCTACGACTCGAACCAACTAGTGGTGGTTGAAATGTAAGTTGGTAGAACTACAAAAGTTTTTTCAATAGTAGCGATACTTTATAGGTGGCTAACCTATCAGCAACAGAGCGACTTTTCAAATTAGCCCAATGATCCATATACAAAACGGTGTAAAATATTCTCCTAAATTAGATAAGAACCAATAACTATAGCATTAACTTGCATTAGGCAGACAAGAAACACATATCTAACATTGTTATATCGATATGAAAAAAGTATTTTTAAAAAATAAGCGAACGTGATTTCTTATTGCTTCGATAGCCTACTCTTTGTCATATTCTTTTCGCTCCAATAATTCATCAAACAACATTTAAAAATCTGGCCAGTCTGAACATTTGTGGACTATTTGGCTTCGTAATTTGATTCTCGTTAGAGAATCAGAATCATGATTTTAAATATCTCAGTTATGTTCCACAAACTATTTTTCTAATTCTTCGAATACATTCTTGAGGTTTTACGACTTCATGTGTTGGAAAAAGTTCATCACGTAAACTTTTCAAGAGTTTATAAAAGTATTGAAAGGCGCTTAAAACAACTTGAGGAGTCTAAATAAATGCTTCAAAAGCAGGAATTAACTAATGGCGTGCGCTAATTAAAAGGACAATGGGATTTTTCCTCGCTGAGTAAATTCTATTGTTTTGCTAGTATAGGGGTTGTGGAGGTTATTAAGTTTTTGATTGAGATCATGAACCGATTGATGTTAGACCACCTTTGGAAACCTGGAAGCACTGGACGGCCGTTTCGTCCTATTGTGGGACTCCTCAGCAGTGCGAATCCACGATCCCGCTTGCGGGATTCTATTGTTTTGATAGTTTATTACGTACCAAGTCTACTACTTTCACTTTAATTGAATTTATTTCAGTTAAAGTATTTGATTAGAGTGTCGTTTCTGTGTCTAAATTAGTTCGTCGTCGGTGTTTCAAAAAGGGCAGTGATTTTGTACTTGTTATGATTACCCTTGCTTTTGTGTAATTATTGCATTAAAAGCATTCTTGGTCTAAATCAAAGTACTTTAGTTAAGGTTTGAAATCTTGTTAAAGTTTGTCTTGTGGTACCCTTTTACTCGTTGACTGACACTATGTTCATACTGTGATCATATTGTGCTTTACATCTTAATCTGAATGCAGTGTGATGAATGCAAAACGTGGTTCCATAAGATTTGCACCCGTTTAAGTCCCACTGCATACAAAAGACGTTCGAAGCCTAACTCAAATTGGCTTTGCATGTTTTGCTGTGCAACTAAGACGTTACTAATACAGGAGGCTGTGAGCCTATTGGCTTTGGCCTGTAAGAAGAACGATGGCGCATGCACTGATAACACGAGCACTGACAGTGACGAATGTGTCAGTGTAGTACGTGCTGTTACGAGACGCCTTAGACAACCGACTTTGACTGACCGGAAAGTAAAATCTCCGTTAACATTAACGACGGGGGTGATACCACCTGATACTGACATTGATAACCATGCACCGTCACTGCTCCAAATAGTCCCAGTGTCCTGAGGGATGAAAAATGGACTACAGTACGGAGAAAACGAAATGAAAAGAAAAAGGCTGTAGGCAGTGAGCAGATGATTAGCAAGTCACTAAATGCACTACCAAAATCTGATAGTAGGAGAGAAACCCACCCTGGCGTGAGTGAGAAGAAGAATCTAATCTCATCGAATATTATTGTGAGCGAATTGCTGGAGTCAAACGACCCTGATCCCAAAATCAGACACGTGCATGATTTAGAGAAGCTGGGAGAATATATTCGTAGTATCTTACCAGATGACTCTAAAGGAGTTCAGGTAAAAAAAACTGGTTAGAATAGGCAAGAGAACTGAGGAAAATGTTGAATCCCGACCATGTAGACTCCTTAAGGTAAACCTAGGATCAGAAAAGCAACGAGATCTCTTGTTAAGTAGTGCTCGTTGTCACGACAATTTCGATATGCGGGTTAGACCTGATATGTCTCTCGAAGATAGAATAAAAAGGAAGAAAGCATTAGCTGAACTAGAAACCCGTCGGCAAAACGGTGAGGAAAATCTCCGGCTAGTGGGTTTTCGGATAGTCAGGTCTTGGAAGCGAATGCTACCAAGGCCTGTGTGGATAGGCCGTTCTACTTAGGAGTTTTATATGCCAATGCTCGTAGTCTAAGAAATAAGTTCTATGAACTAGAAGCATTAGTGGACAGATTAAGGCCACTCATCATAGCAGTGACAGAAACTTGGTTAGTCTATGACTTAGACATTACACCAGAATTATTCAGATACCATTACCTAATGAGTAGAATGTAGAAAAGGGAGTGGCATCCTGTTATATATAGCCAATAATATAAATATCCGCTCCTCTGTTAGAGAATCCCATGACAGCGGTACTTGTGAAATCATTAGCTGTAAGTTGGCTATTGGGCGTAGTACATTTATGCTCGGTGTCATCTATATCAGCCCGATCTGCTTAGCTGATGACTTTATTTTAGAGCACATTCATCTTTGAAGTGCAAATACCAGATGTTTGATAATAGTATACTTTATTGCACCTGATATTAGTTGGACTGAAATGACCACTGACGGATCTACAAACTCCTTTGATAGTAGGTTCCTGGTAACAATAATGGAGCATGCACTAGTGCAGCATGTATCCAAACCCACACGTTTTGGTGCTAACCAAGGTTCTTCTCTGTTGGACTTGGTAATCACTCATGATACTGAGGATATTGTCGACCTAAATATTCTTCCACCGTTAGTGAACAGCGATCACGCTGTTTTGTCATTCATGTTTAGAACTAGGGACATGTTATACGATCAGGTAACACCTCGCCCAAATGTATGGAAAGCTAACATATCAGCCATTCAGGAATGCGCTGCTAAGACAGATTGGTTTGTAGATACTAGCTTATCAGTTGAAGAAGCGTGGTTTGTATTTAAAGTTTAGTTTAGTTTAATTACGTCCTCGTTCATACTATACCTGGTACCGCGAAGACGGAATAACAGTCCACCATGGATAACTAAATCAGTCAGGAAACTTCTTAGGAAAAGGAAGAAGCACTGGAATATGTTCATCTCTACTGGCTTAGAACAATACAGATCCAGTTATTGTAAGATTAGGAATGCCTGTAAAGAGTTATTAAGTAAGACTAGACAACCATATGAAAAACAATTGGTTAGGGATTCTAGATATAGTCCGAAACGGTTATTATCGTATTTAAAAAGGCAAACTCAGAGAAGCGATGGAATTCCATCACTTTTGATACGAGAAAATCCGTTAATCTTGGCATAAAATGATACCGAAAAAGCTGAAGCTTTATCGAAATATTTCAGTAGTGTTTTCTATTGGTAATGAGGAACGACCAGCGGCTCGCTGATGGACCCTGTAGTCATTGAGAAAGGTACTGTTTTAAGGCTACTTCAGCATCTCAAACCTGATAAGTCCAGTGGTCCTGATGATATTCATCCTAGGATTATGAAAGCCATATCAGATTTAATTGCTGAACCATTAGCGATACTGTTTGACATGTCTCTAAGGCAGTCCAGACACCCCAGAGACTAGAAAGACGCTATAATAAGTCCGGTGTATAAGGCTGGGAGTAGGGATTTAGTTAGTAACTATAGGCTCGTTAGCTTAACTAGTGCAGTTGTAAAACTGATGGAAAAAACCATTCGGATATCTGTTATAAACTATGTCTTTTCTCCAGGGAACAACATGGTTTTCGGAGAAGCCTATCATGCTTAACAAATCTTGTCATTGCAAGAGAAGATTGGGCTGCTGCAAAAGATTGGAATATTCCTGTGAATGTGATCTTCATAGATCTAAGTAAGGCCTTCGATAAGGTCTCCCACTTTGGTCTTAAATTCAAACTGGAACGTTTTGGAATCCATTATACAGTCGTAGTTTCGATAAGTAACTTTCTACATGACAAAAGACAAAGGATAAGAGTAAATGGGGCTCTCTCCTCGTGGGTACCTGTAAAAAGTGGAGTTCCCCAAGGTACAATCCTCGGTCTTCTTCCCCTTTTACTTTATGTAAATAAATTACCAACTATAGCGAAATCATCCGTTCTACTCTCCGCTGATGACATAAAGATTTGGAGACCCATACACAGTATGTCGGATAGGATATTATTACAGAATGATCTTAGCTCAGTGGTGATACGGCTGGACAAATGGCCACTAGAAGTAAATCCTAACAAGAGTGTAGTGATGCAAATAAGTAAATATGATGAATCGTACAATATGTGGATTCGTGCTACCCAAAGTAAGAAACTATAAAGATTAAGGAGTCGTATTAAGCCGTGGTCTCAAAACCACTAGTCACTGTGAGGCTGCTACTGAGAAAGGCTATGGGGTATTATGGTCTATTCGTAGGTCTTTCCAGTATTTAGATGATGAAATATTTAGACTAGTAAACCCAATTTATGTGCGACCACAATTAGAATATAAGATTCAAGTAGCGAATCCTTGTTTTAAGTATGAAGCAGAGATGCTGGAAAGAGTCCAACGACGAGATACTAAGATGGTACAAGGTATATCTGGCCTATCTTATGAAAACAGACTGAGACACCTTAACTTATTTCCGTTATCTTACCGTAGAGTACGGGGCGATCTAATATTGGCTCATCGTATAATGAACGATGACCTTGGTATTAACATGTCTTATTTTTTACTTTCGTCTAGGACTGATCATTTGAAAGGACATTTGGAGAAAGTTCAAAAACCGAGATCAAATCGTTTACGTCTGGAGTTTTGTTTCTCGCACCGAGTAGTGAATTACTGGGATTCTCTACCGGAACACGTAATATCAGCACCTTCTGTTAATATATTAAAAACGAGATTGGACCTCCGCAGTATTAAAAACTGCAAGGATTAACATAGGTCGATAGACCTATCCTCATTACTGAAGACTGATATTCCGCACTGATAATGTCGACGTCCCCATGATCAAATGAAGTTTCACTATGCACACAGTTGATGCTCGTGAAATGAGTGCTTACCAAATTACAGCTGCTGTAAACTGTTATCTTTGTGAATAAAACGTTGGAAATGTAGATTCACTACTGAAATGTATTGAAATTTCAAGCGTCAACAGATCGTGATTCAACAGCTAACTTTAACTGTTTGGAAGTTGAGGAAAGGTTGACACCAAAGACAAGATATAAGGCCAGTTGATAATGACACCAGTCAAGAACAGAAGAAATATAGACAAATGATGTTTTCATGCCATCTGGACTATGACCTCTTTCCTTGAAAAGCCTAAAGAAACTGAATTAGAATCGACACTATAAAACTGTGAGTGTAATAAGAAGCACATCTGTATAGCCATACTTTTCTTCCCTAGACAAATAAGATTAAGATTCCTAGTTGTTTAGGAAAATACAACTAACGATTATTACCACTGATACATGGATAACCTGTAATTAGGACTATCGACTACTATAATAAACTACTCAAACGCTAGGGAGGCACCTCGGAAAAATCTCAAAACCTATTTTTTACGATACGCTTAGTTTAGGGTCGACTGTACTAGTGACAGCATGAGAAATTAAGTCTTATTAACGTTTCATAAATGTCTCACCTTAAGGTAGACAAAGATTTGAATTGGCTTCCTATTTTTCCAATGATCAATGGACCGTAGTTGTGTCTAATATATCCAATGTTTGTCACGAGCTTACATGAATAACATTCAGCCTTTCATAGGTTTGCGCCCAGCCCAAAGGTATATTGAGTGCTGATAGAGTTTGGGGAGCAGTATGTCAAAAATATTGGAAGAGGAAAAGTTAGTCGACGACTAAGTAAGCACAAAGAATAGAATTACGTTAAATGGGCAAAGTAGTTGACGACAATTAAAAACAATACAAACATCATATGGAGACGATCTGATGATCGAGACTAGAAACTGAGAGCGTAGAATTTCGGATGCTTTACATAAATACCGATTGATTTCTTTGCGTTCGCTTCTTGTTGCTTCGGTACGTTCCCAAATTTTCATAATATCCAGTGACAGTTGGTATAACCTTTTTACTGCAATTATTCTAGTCAGTTCAGTAGTAACTGTTTATAGATTCGTGTTGAGGCTAAACTTGAGTAGGTATTTAAGGGGATGTCCGGAAGTGTTAAGGATGCTGTAAGACATCAGAAGGTCACATCTAAGACGCCTGTACTCTAATGGGTAAAGGTTAAGTGATTGGAGGCGCTCTTCACAAGGTTTAAATTTGAGTCTCCGAACTGACTTCATGGCTCGCCGTTGGAGTGTCCTTATCCTCTTGGAGTGAGGAAGGAAAGACTATGTTTCCATACTCTAAGTGGGGACGGATAAAACTGCTGAAGATTATATGGAAATTTCATCCGTTAAACTGGCCAAAAATGAGCTTCAATGTTACCAGTGCGAGGTTTGCTCGAAAGGCATTTTTGTCACAGTTATCGTAAGACTTTAAATCGTAGGGCACCAGGACTTCTAAATCCTTTTCGACTCGGGATACTACTAGAGAGGAGTTTCCTAAGTTGTAACTATAGTCTGCGACATGTCGCAGATGGACAACTTCACACTTTGAAGTGTTAAAGGTAAGTCCGTTATTGTCTGCCCAACTTTGAAGTGGAGTCAGATCCTCCTGAAGTGCGTGTATATCGTCTTGGTTGTGTATCCCTCTCCGAGGTCCACGTCGCCAGCAAAACGTAATAAGTCTGACGTTACCTGTCGAGGAAGATCATTTATATAAATCAAGAAGAGAAGAGGTCCTGGTACTGAACCCTAGACGACCCCACTAGGACATTCCATAGCCTGAAAGAAAGTGAAGTTAACACTGATCTTAAAATGTCGATTTTTCAAGTATGAAGTGAACCAATCAATTAGAGGTGGTCTGATACCCAATCGTTTCAGCTTATTGATATGACATATATTGTTAACCCTATCAAAAGCTTTTGAAGGTTCGCTGCGTCGACCACCTTTGGAAATTGGTGCGATAGTTTGCCCCTAAAAAATGCCAGAATTAATCGAAGTTTGACAACACCTCTATAATCGGAGTATGCTGACCTAGTCAAGTCATAAGTCAGAAATGAAGTTCGAAAATATATTTGGAGGGCTATATGTATGTCGAGGGACGCTCGACATAAGCTGTCTAGTAGTTGAAAGAGATATGATGCATGGCGTACCCGCTCGTGATCTGGTATGGATGTGTGTCCGAGAGCCTTCAGCTAGGTGAATCCAATAAAACTAATGCGGTCAGCACCAAGTATCGAAGACTTGCGAAACAATTTATTTTGGGAACTGCTTAACCGCTCTGCTCATTTCGTCCCTAGTGGGATAGTGATAACTCTAAGACGTGGCCAGTCAGAAGTTTAGACCCAACAATATTGTCACCGATGAACATTCTTCTGATGGCTTGTCATCGTCAGCAGCGCCTGGTCATCTTTACGTACTATGAGAGGCCATGTGATACAACATAGTACTGAAAAACAGTATAATAAAAATTTAGATTCGTCACAATCTTTGCCGTTTTTTCATCTTTTCCAGCTGTACCCCCAAAGAAAAAAGGATATAAGGGGGCATGTGAAATTACACTCATGCTTGTGTAAAGGCACAAAACGGGAAAAAAGGGAGACAAACTTATACATACACGTTTTGTAGATATGCAAAGGGCCTGGAAAGATTTTCAGGTTACGAATTGTCTTTGCAGTAAAAATATATATATCGTCATAATAAAAATAGTGTTTTTATGGCACAGTAATGCACAAAACCAGGATAAAATATTATGTAGTGTCTTACGTGAGGTAAGGGATTCCTTCTAAATACGCGACTTTGAGGCGATCGATGTTGGTGCTATCGTTAGTTCTTCTCTTATCGATTTTGTAGTATTTGGTTTTACATTCAGAGGCTTTGGAGAGTCCTTCGTATGCCGTTTTGAGTGGTTGTTAAACTGAGTCGCGACGTACAAAGACGTGTTTACTAAATCGTCGGGAAGGTTCAGCGGAAACATCAGTTATTATTATTATTATTCACAAACATCTTATGGGTACATAAGTGTTGTGAAGAAACCATTTCGGGTTTCTTCAACAAAATGCAATAATATAGAATTTTCAATAATGTCAGCATTGTACTTCCATTTTAAAAAAAATTTAGAACAATAATAGTAGAATATTAATAATAATAAATCGGGTCTGTGCAATTGAGAAGAATATTGAATTGAGTTTAAAGAAGGAAATGGAGAAAATAAGGGAATAGAAATAAAGGAGACGTGAAATACGCAGTTTAATAGGCGTGGTTATGAACACAGAACAAGAATAAACGACTATGTGTGTATCGTTAAATTAGTAACAAAAATAAAGAAAAAATAACTTATAATTGCAGTAAGATATGACGCTAGAATAAATGTTTGTGCAGTTATAGTTTATAGTGATGCTATGAAAGTCTCAATTAAATAAAAAGAGATAATAAAATATCGATATGTATGATTCATATATGCATAGTGAAGATAAAACGAATCTGAGAAGTTAATTAAAGTGTAACACAAGTTAATGCTTTAATTACAAACTTCGTAATCTTAAGAATAATATTTATTTAGAGGGAAAGAAGAGAGAAAAGAAGTGAACACCTAGTGAAAAGTTTCATCCACAATAAGAATAATAATCGCGTAATGAATATTGACCTCAGAAGGAAACCGACAATTTAGAAGAATAAAATAAAAATCCTTTAACGCACTCGGATGAATACATTTAGATTTATGTAATAGTATACAGAGTGAAACCGGATATTAGTATAAACACTTGTGCAATAATAATTAAAAATGATGCTATGAAAGTCAAAATTGATTCCAAAGAATAATCTGGATTTAAATATGTTTGAAAGGATAAGAAGATATAAAAGGAACACCTAATGTGTCGGGGGAACAATAATGATATTAATAACAGTAATAATTATAGATACGAACATAAGCAGATTTCATATATTAAGATAAATAGAAATAAAATAAAATAGACGTGGAAAGATTTAAAGGTTTTATTTTGCTTTTCAAGCAATTAAATGGATGACGGATGAGTGTGGTCGAGTGGAAATAGGTTTGAAATTGGGTGTGCAAGTCTGCTAATGTGAAAGTTCAAGTCCATATTAATTGAAGAAAATGAAGAATTCACGAATTGTCCTGGAAGTTGAAGTGTCGTTACATAAACGAGCTGGGCTGAAGGGTATCCAACGCCATCCCTCATTGCATTGTGAGTGGAAGAGATTTGGTCTAATGCAAAACGTTTGCAGCTGAGAGTGAAGCTCTTAACTGTCTGTGAAATCGTTCTACCAACCCGTTTGCTTGTGAGTGGTAGGTGACCGTTCAGAATCGTGTGATTCCAAATAGTGTAGTCGGACAACGGAAAAATCCAGATTCGAACTGGTATCCGTGGTCTGTAGTGATAGTTGAAGGACAGCAGAAAAATGTTGTCATCGTTCGGCGAAGATGTGGGCCACGGTCTACGCAAGTTTAGAGGTATAAGTATCTATTTGAATCTGGTGGGGGTCCTACCAAGTTCAGATGAACATGGTCGAAATATGCATCGTGAGTGCAGAATGAAACTAAGGGACATCTTTGGTGTCTAGTTATTTGCTGTTCACTGATTTTTGTAAGATCCCTCCGAATACAGTGCCGGGTGAGTCTATTTCGTCACTGATTAGTGTTTTTACATTGTTATATGAACATTATTTCTCTGGCGATAAGCTCCTTAACTGTGGAGAATGCTTTTCCGCAATATCGTCCTAATTTATTCGTTTTTCTACAAATTTGATCGGTTAAGGTCTTATAAGAGACTCTCAGTTCAATATGAACAGTCGATGGAAACTTACCGGACCATTGAATGTGCGTGGTTGCTTGATTTTAGTCGGTTCTGAGTATTCTAGAATGACCACCACTCAGAGGTCAGATGCCTTGAGCATCAACAGTATGTCCGAGAAAATCTAGAAAATCGGTGCCAATTTGAAATTTATAAATGTTCACAGTAATGCCGTGCTTTCGTAGTCATTCTCTTTCTGGAATCGAAATCAAGCATCCATCAACATACGCATGTACGAAGTTGGGATGTAATCAACGAATCTGTAGTGGCATTGGACCATAATCAGAAAATAGATATTCAATATTTAACGCGGAGAAATACCTAACGATGGAGAAGGCGAGAACAAGGAATCGAATTAATTGCAGTTGATCGAATGGCATGGCTTGGCCTTGCAGGCGTTGTCCTTGCAGAGTGTTATATCCTGTATTCGTATTAAATATATCGTTCTATCTCTAGCCTAAGCTTGTTCTACATCATGTATTGGTGAATGTTACGATACGATGAGTTTGTGCAGACGATGGTATGACTTCTACGTAAGATCCCATAGATTAGGCAGTTATATCATGGCAAGTCTACAATTTTAGGATTAGGTCCATTATCAGAGCAGTACTAATATAATAATAGACAATAATTCTACAAACCTCTGGAACGTTTGTGCAGCATTTCTTAAACCGAAAGGTATAAGTGAAAACACATAAAGACCGAAAGGAAGTGATAGTGGTGGCTTAAGAGATTTCGTCGCTACACCTCAGTAATATTCGGCTGTTAGGTTGTCACTGGGAGGAGGCTATCGGTAATAAGTTGATAAT